GCTCTGTGGAAAGACCATCAGTAATACTGTTATCAGTCCACATGAGTGTAAACACAAGTGGTTCCTATTTGTCATCAGAATAGTTCACAACCCATTCATCAAGCAGTAGCATCTGCTATACCTGAGGTCTTGCTACTGTGCTGCAGCGGTGATGACATATTCGACATGGTAATTGCAAATAAGGGTACTTCTATATTTGGTTGTACTTGTAATAGTCTACAGGCATTATGCAGGATCTAATCCAACCTGCTCAGTAGCCAAGCTGGTTAATTCAACAAGTGTAAGATGAGATCAAAACCCTCGGCGTTCTTTAAATATTTCAAAGTGGCACTGATTTTCACCATTACCCTGGGATGCATACAATAATGATTTTGGTTTACTGTTTTGGTTGGGACACAGTGCGCTACCATTTAAGAAGTTTCCATTGAACTTCCTACTGTCATAGTTCTTCATGCACAGGCTAAGGAACCCCCATGTAAGGGTTTTGACAGCTACAACTTTCCAGTTATGAATTGGGGAAGTGACAACTGGGTGGGTGTTTGGGCCAGGACATAGTGCTACTGTGTGTCTCACCATGGCTGATAACCACTCTTGTCAGCATACCCCGTATTGTTTTTAAAGTTTAGTATGTCCTTTGGGCCTTTTCATAAAATATAATCAGCTGGTAGGTCTTCCAGACTTGAGTAGTAAATCTGCTTAACATGTCTGCTTTTAAAAAGAGAATATTTATTTATTTTCATTTGAAAGGCAAACTTTACAGAGGGAAGGAGAAGTAGAGAGAGAGGGTCTTATATCCACTGGTTCACTTCCCAAATGACCACAGTGGCCAAACTTGAGCTGATCCAAAACTGGGAGCCAGGAACTTCTCCTTGGTCTCCAACGTGGGTACAGGGGCCCAAAGAATTGAGCCATCATCCATGCTTTTCCAAACCATAAGCAGAGAGCTGAATTGGAAGCGAAACAGTCAGGACATAAAAACAGCCAGGACATGAACCAGCGCTCATGTGGATGCTAGCACCATGGGGCGGAAGATCAGGCTGATGCACCAAACTGCCAACCTCCATATCTGCTTTTTTGAGCCCCTTGGTCTTTCCATCCACAAGTTACCATGGAAGTTCTGGCACTTCTACCTCACTTAATGGGCTATGATGTTCTGTAAGCTTCAAAGAGTTATTCTCCCAGTGTTAGTAGCACCTGCCAGGGTCCTTGCTAGGGTTTGGGGTTCTGTATTCTGGGAGAGCACTCCAACTTCATGTTCTACCTCTTTGATCCATTCCCCTCAGGGCCCAGTTCCATGTATACCTTATCAGCTCCTGCTAGTGTGTGTCAGGCAGATCCAGCCAGGTTGTGCTACAATATGATCCTGATAATTAGTCCAGTCTTCAGAAGCAAGGGCAGGGGTGGATTCTGAGAGAGGCAGTCATTGTCGTATAAGCCACCTGATTCATTCAAAGCCTTTGCATTATCTTCAAAGCAGAAGGGAGGGAGGTCTGTATTTTAACAAGAGGGATGTAACCTACTTCTGCATATCTAGTCCGTTCAGATGGGTCTGTAAGTATTTAGCCACATCTGTTTAGATGGCTCCATCACAAGCCCCAGAATTGCACTCATGTCCTATTAGGATCCTGAGCATGGCGTAGGAGATGTGCTGAGCCTGAGAATTCAGCCCTCTCTGAAGCTCCCCCACCCCTATAGTTAAATCCTCAGCCTTGCCCTCCTTTCTGTCTGCCCTCTGGTAGGAGATCAGGGATTTCTTTCATGAAGCCAAGGAGGTCTCTGGCTTTCACATTTGGCCTGGAATTGGTGAATTTTCACCAAGCGTATCCTGTCTTTTGCCAGCTAATCAATAGCACTCAGCAACTAGTCACCACAATCTAGTTACCATTGCCTTCATACCTCTCCAGTGCCAGGGATATTTCATCATCTGACTCATTCCCTTCCCCAGAATCCTGTTCACAGTCTACCAGCAGAAAAATTCATGGCCGTTCCAAAGCCTCAGGGGCCTGTGCTGTGATTCTCCCATGTAGACTACATTCCACACAGCAGCTTTTCCTGCTCCTGGGTCATGGGGCCCAGGCAGATCGTATGGCTTAAGTGACAGTCTGCTTGTCCCACATCCCCACAGTGCTGCAGAATGCCCCATGTGGCTACAGCATGTCACACCTAAGGGGGCTCTACCTCCCACCGCTGATGGAGCCTCATGGCCATCTGGTTACTGAGTGACCCATCTCCACAATTGCATCAGAGTCTCTGGCATTTGATTTCTTTGGTCCACTGTTTTCAGTGCTGTCCTAGCAGCTGACTTTGAGGCAAGGGTTTGCATGCAAGGAAGGCTGCCGGGAAGTGCCTTGAACCTGTGAGGAGAGGGGAGAGTAGAACACAGAAAAGGCTGGCTTGCTGTGTTGTTATTTCAGAGGTGACCCCAAGAGGAGCTTAGGAGTGGGATGACCCTTTCAGTCAGCCGAGATTGAGCTGAAGGCTGACTCTGTGCCCCCACAGATAGATAGGCTCCAAGGAAGGTGTAACCTTGGCCAAGGTGGTTCCCTGTGACAGAGGACAGTTCCCAATGGGGACACAACGATGAGCTGTTAGCAGCTTATCCTCAAAATCTAATGAGCCTGAGGAGGAGACCTGAGTATAACATTCAGCATCCATGATGTTTATAATCAGAGAAAAGCAGTGAACTACAAACATCATCTGTTTAGAGCTAAGCAAGGTGCACATCTGAAATTCCCTTTTCATTCTGGTGATGGGGTAGGAGATGTAAAGGAAGAGGGAGGGAGGAAGTGTTAGTGGCTGCGTTTGTGGTCTCTTGTGTATATCACTGAAGATACCAGGATCCATTCCTGATGAGTGTATGTGTCAGACCATGACTGTTTGCATGTCCATAACCAGTGCCCCTGGTAGGTCTCCTCACCTTGTTGCCTTCCACAGAAAGTCTGACTGAGGATGAGCTTTCTTCTGTGAAGGCTGGCAGTAAGAGTCCTGGGCGTGGGGAAGGAAGCCACTAGAAAGCAATCCCAGCTGGGGACGAGCCCAAGAACAATGACATAGCAGTTCATGGTGTGCCTGCTGCCTATTCCTCCTCCCTCCTCCCCAGCTGCATCCCTCCCTCTCCCCCTCCTTCATTGCTGGCTGGGGCCTCTTTAGAACCACCCCCACCCAGCCTGCACAGCTCAATCTTCTCCCATTAGCATCCAGCTGCCCACCTACGGATGGTACATCCCTCACAGCACACAGCTATACATGGTGAGACTGTTCCTCCTTGTGATCGGGCCCGAGAGCAGAGAGGGATGATCAGACACACGAACAGACACACACAGACACACACAGGCACCAAAAGGCTGAGCAACTCAGCCCCTAATGTACATATGCTCCCTGTCATTCTTTTGCATTTACCAACCTCAATCCAGTATCTTTTCTAAAATGTTTATTTTCATTAACTTGAAAAGCAGAGAAAGAGAGAGAGAGAGAGAGAGAGAGACAGAAAGAGATCTTCTAACCACTAGTTCACTGCCTAAATGTCCACAACAACCAGTGCTGGGCCAGGCCAAAACTAGGATCTCAAATCTCCCTGTGGGTCTCCTGTGTAGGTAACAGGGCTCATGCCCTCCAGCCAGCATTTGCTGCTTCCTCAGCCATATTAGCAGAAAGCTGAATCAGAAGTGGAGTTGCGGGCCCAGCGCGGTGGCGCAGTGGTTAAGGTCCTCGCCTTGCACGCCCAGGATCCCATATGGGCACCGGTTCTATCCTGGCAGCCCTGCTTCCCTTCCAGCTCCCCGCCTGTGGCCCGGGAAAGCAGCTGAGGACGGCCCAAAGCTTTGGGACCCTGCACCCGAGTGGGAGACCCGGAAGAGGCTCCTGGCTTCAGAGCGGCATAGCATCGGCCGTTGTGCTCACTTGGGGAGTGAATCATCGGACGGATGATCTTCCTCTCTGTCTCTCCTCTCTGTATATCCGACTTTCCAATATAATAAAATAATAAATAAATAAATAAATAAATAAGAATCATTTGAATCCTATGTAAGATAAGTGAATTCTTTAAAAAAAAAAAAAAAAGAAGTGGAGTTGCCAGGACTTGAACCAACACTCTGATATGAGATGCATCCCAAATTGTGCCTTTAACCTTCTATACCTTAACACCTGCCCTTCCACCCCATGCCCAAATCTTATGAGCACCCACCAATTTTCTGAAGGTATTCCAGAGCATTTCCATGGGACAGTTGTTACTAGAAGCTAGGAGGGGAAATGGATAAATTAAATCTTTTTTTTTTTTAAGAGAGAGAAGATTTGAAATATTCCCAAAGAAGAGATGATAAATGTTTTGTTAAAGAATGTTACATACATATATTGAAATGTCAGCCTGCCCCTCATACATATAAAGGGACTGACATTTAGTCTAGCGGTCAACACATGATTAGGATGCCTGCATCCCACACCAGGAGACCTGAATTTGATTCCAGGCTCCAGCTCCTGACTTCAGCTTCCTGCTAACGTAAACACTAGGAGGCAGTGGTGATGGCACAGATATTTACGTTCCTGTCACCCGCATGGGACACCTGGATCGAGTTCCCAGCTTCCTATTCACCTTTCTGTCATTGTAGACATTTGAGGGAACAAACTGGCATATGGGAAGAGTATGTTTTCTGTCGCTCTCACTCTTGCTTTCTCTTCCTTTCTTAAATAAATGCATTTTTAGAAGCACTTATAACAGCAGTTTGATGCTACAAAGCAGCTTTTTGGATACATCATCTCTCTGTGGTTTAAGGATACACTTTGTGGTTTGAAGTGTACTTCCATCTTTACCCACTGCTGTGAGGGTTATAAAAAGGCCACGTTTCACCATCTACTACTGATCTTCCCAAGGTATCCAACGATAAAGCACTTTATGTTTTCTACAGTGGCACTGAAAATGCACCGAGGTCACGGGGCTGCCTTGGGTCTTGTTTTCTTGCCTGAGATTTGAGCATTTGACAGATATAATCTACTTGCCTCTGCAGGGCCAAATACTTCAAAGGGAAAAAGATCCATGGAGAAATTGACATAAAAGTAGAGCAGGTGAGTGGGGACAGGTGGCCCAGGGGGGCTCAATTACCCAGATTACAAACTGAATGCTCATTTCTGTATGATATGGGTTAATCACCGATTTTCTCTTTCCCAGGCTGAATTCTCTGATCTCAACCTTGTGGCTCATGCCAATGGCGGGTTCTCTGTGGATATGGAAGTTCTTCGGAATGGGGTTAAGGTTGTGCGGTGAGTACAGAAAGGGAATCTTGGTATTATGGAACCTTGGTGTTATGTGAGAGGCAGAAATACTCTTTAGAGCTAGGGGAGATTTCCCACTTACCCCAGCCTCCCCTCAGTGCTCAAGAACTTAACCACAGAACAGACCATGGGGAGATAACTTTCCTTTTAAAGAAGAATCAAGGGTCACAACAGACCACATGCCAAACTTTTCAATTATGCATTCAGCAAACATTTGTTAAGCATCTACTGTGTGCCACTTGAGTCTCTTGGCACTTTACACTCCACAACTATTTATTGAGTACCTACTTTGTACCAGGAGCTGTTCAACATGCTGAGTCATGCATAAAACAAATTAAAAAAAAATAGAGTAAAACAAACCAAATGAACAAACAACCCCTGTCCCCTCATGAAGCTTACATTCTTGTGGCTTACAACCAATAGTTCTTAATAGGGAAGTGTAGAAGTTCTAAGAAATAATAAAACAGTAAGTCATGTGTAGGGGTTGTTGGATGGCAATGGGGTCTGAACTATCCTACACAAATATCTGGAGGGAAATGATCCAGGCAGAGGGACCAGCCCATGTGGAAGTCCTGAAGCTGGAATTTATTCTGAGCAGGTACACTTTGAGAGCCTAGTTGGTGGTCTCAGACATTGTGACCAGAAAACTTTCAGAACTGAGTGAAACAGTTATAAACTGAGCTCAGTATGGAGGGGAGCAGGTAGGACAGGCTTAAAAGAGGTCAAAGGATGGAGAACAGACAGGAAGGATGTAAAGGCAGAAGGAACAGCTGTGTGTGTGAGAGAAGATACCACTTTGCAACTTCTGGGAATGTTGGAGATTTGGAAACTCGTTCTTTGTTCCATGGGAAGGGGCAGCTTCTGGGAGACCCTCCACCCTGCTACCCCTGCCATCCCAGGTCTCTGAAGCCAGACTTTGTGCTGATCCGCCAACACGCCTTCAGCATGGCACGCAATGGAGACTACCGCAGTTTGGTCATCGGGCTGCAATATGCTGGAATCCCCAGTGTGAACTCCTTGCATTCTGTCTACAACTTCTGTGACAAGCCCTGGGTGGTAAGTGCCAAGAAGGAGGCTGTGGGCTCAGGCACACACACGGGCGCATTGCATCACTCTCATTTTTGCGAAGTGAGAATGTTTGGGGATGTGAAGATTCCTTTCAAGGAAATGACTCGCTGACCTACCTCCCTTGGTTTTACAGTTTGCACAGATGGTTCGGCTGCACAAGAAACTGGGGACAGAAGAGTTTCCACTAATTGACCAGACCTTCTACCCCAACCATAAAGAGATGGTGAGTCCAGAGGAAGTACAGTGGGCCTGAGGGACGAGTCATGATCACTGTGGTAATGTTACCAATGAATATGTTTTTAGTGTTGTATCAAACAGTACTGTTGGTGTAAAGTGTGCAAGTCTGAAGTTACTTTGTGATAGAAGTCAAGGAATGCCATGAAGTTACTTTATGGCTACTAGTGTGAACTTGATCACAGATCCCAATATTGATTAAATCGTGGTGCCCATATTGTTTATTCTCATCAGTATTAAAAATGCAATTTTGTTTTTAAAGACTTATTTACTTGTTTGACAGGCAGAGCAAAAGAGAGGGAGTGAGATGGAAAGAGAGAGATCTTCCATTTACTGTTTCACCTCCCAAATGGCCAAAACAACCTGCTCTAGGCTAGGCTGAAGTCAGGAGCCAAAAACTCCCACGTATGCCCAGCACAGTAGCCTAGTGTTTAAAGTCCTCGCCTTGAACATGCCAGGATCCCATATGGGTGCTGGTTCTAATGCCAGTGGTCCTGCTTCCCATCCAGCTCCCTGCTTGTGGCTTAGGAAAGCAGTTGAGGACAGCCCAGGGCCTTGGACCCTGCACCCACATGGGAGACCCAGAAGAGGATCCTGGCTCCTGGCTCCTGGCTTTGGATTGGCTCACCTTCAGCCATTGAGGCCTCTTGGGGAGTGAATCATCAGATGGAAGATCTTCCACTCTGTGTCTCCTCATCTTTGTATATCTGACTTTCCAACAAAAACAAATAAATCTTTAAAAAAAAAGAAAGAAAACTCCCTCATGGGTGGCAGGGTTCTAATATTTGAACCTTCTTCCCCTGCCTTCCATGCATGTTAGCCAAGGGTTAAATTGGAAGCAATGTAACCATGGCTTGAACCAGCACTCCAGTATGGCTGGCTCTCCAATAGGGGGTGCTAGTGTTACAAGCAGCAACTTAACGTACTGTGCTGCAATGCTAGACCCTCAAAATCAGTTTCTTTAAGCTTTATTTGCTTTACTTGAAATTCAGAGTTACAGACAGAGAAGGGTAGAGACAGAGAGAGATCTTCTATCTGCTAGTTCAATCCCCAAATGGCTATAGTAGCTGGGGCTGGGCCAGACCAAAGCTGAGAGCCAGGAGCTTCTTCCAAGGTCTCCCACATGGGTGCAGGGTCCTGAATCTTTGAGTCATCCTCCACTGCTTTCCCCGGCAATTAGCAGGAAGCTAGGCCAGGAGTAGAGCAGCTGGGACTAGAAACAGCATCATTATGGGATGCTGGTAACCACAGGCAAAGAATTAGTCTGCTATGCCACTGGCCAGCCCCCTGCCCATGAATGTTTAAATCAAGCTAACAGAATCAATGTAATGAGACAGATTATATGTTTACATCGAGAAATTAAATAGCTATTGCTAGCATTATCAAATATCCCTTATTTTACTTATATTTCAAATTAAGATTGCTAATAAAAAATTACTAGTAGCAATGCAAAAAGTAAATTGTTTGTGAATAGAAAATAGAAAGTGAAGGAAATTAAATTTTCATTATTCTATGAATAAAGTATATTACATTAATTGTTATTTTCATAAAACATAATCACAAGTATTGCAACTAATTGTAAATACAAGTTATTGTCACTGATGTAGGTGATGAGTACCAACATAACTAATTAATATATAGTTCCTATGAAAAAACAAATAATCATTACTAATGTCATCTAAGATTATAGATACTATTTTAAGTATTACCATAACATTACAAATTATGTTTTAATATTAAATTATAAATACATTTTTGAATTATTATGTTATCCCTGGTATTAGAAATGAAACTGTTACTAATACCATAACATAACTAGTATGACATTTTTTTTACCAATGTGATAGGTTCAAATAGCCCATATAAATCATTAATACTTATGCTATCAATTAAACTGTAATTACTAAAAGAAATTGTCAGTAGAAATCTGTTGTCACAAATGCAGATTTTTACCAATGTTAAATTAGGTTTGATAACATAAACTCTGAATACCTGTTTTGAATTATCTTATAGTTCCTAATAGAAATTATTACTAATGTGGTTAAAATTCAAAAAATGCTATTATAGATCAGTGCTAAAAATAAAACTGATTACGAATGCAGATTCTGAGTACCATAGCTATGAGTCAGTTTAGTCTGTGGCTAGACATTGAATCATTATAACTAAGGCCATCAAAGTTTACAACTAATTTTGAAAAATTTTACCAATTATTCCACATTGTTTACTTATGTATGTCATCACCAATTATACATCTTAATGTACAATTAAATGTCAGTATTAAACTAACATTACTAGCTTCATTAAATAACCATTGATGTTAATTTTATAAATTCTTGCCTATATCATAAATTATAGTCACTGATGTAAGTTAACAGGGTTATGAATTAAGTGTATGAATTATGAATTATATTAAGGGTATGAATTCATGTTTACACATGAACATCAATAATTGCTTCTAAGGAAAGTTTGTTTATCAATATTATTAGTCTACAAGAGGTTATAGCAAAACATGATTAATAGCATGAACTTGGGCCCAGCGCAATAGCCTAGTGGCTGAAGTCCTCACCTTGCATATGCCAGGATCCCATGCAGGCACCAGTTCATATCCCAGCTGCTCCATTTCCCATCCAACTCCCTGCTTGTGGCCTGGGAAAGCAATCGAGGACGGCCCAAAGCCTTGGGACCCTGCTCTCATATGGGGAGCCCAGAACAAGCTCCTGGCTCCTGGTCTTGGATCGCCTCAGCTTTGACCAGTTGTGTACATTTGGGGAGTGAACCAGTGGACAGAAGGTCTTTGTCTTTCCTTCTCTCTGTAAATCTGACTTTGCAATTTAAAAAAATACACAAATCTTTTAAAATTTTTTTTAAAAAATAGCATGAACCCTGTAGCAAAAAATTTTATATGGGGATCCTAGCCCTATAACTTATTATAGGAAAGGTTATATAACATTATTTGCCTCAATTTACCCATCTGAAAATATACATAATAATAGTTCCTGTCTCATAGAGTTGTTGTGAGAATTAAGTTATTTTAATACATTTTAAGTGGTTAGAATGGTGCCTCTGACATCTGCTAATTGCTGCTGACATGCAGATTAATATCACTATTTCCAGTTGCCTGAATGTTTTTATGATGGAAGGAGATTGTACTTCGTAGCCAATTTTTTGGCTGTGCTGACATGATCATGTGGCTGTCTTCCTTTGTTCTATGAATAAGTTATATTCCAGTAATTAGCTTTAGTGGAAGTTGATTTACCCACAGGTCATATGTGTTATATGTGGAATCTGATGTGCCTGACCTAAATTTCACCAGGTCGTGGTCTAAGTTCTTTTTTACATGGTATAGATTCAGTTTGCTCATATTTTGCTAAGGACTATGGTATGTGTATTTGTAAGGGTATTGATCTGTAGCTTATTTATGATGTCTTTGGGTTTGCTGTCAGAATGATACTGGCTTCATAGAATGAATGGCACTCTATGAAGAATGATTGATTGTCTTCTATTTTGGGGAAGACTCGTATTAATTCTCTTAAATTTAGATAGAAGTGACAGGTAAAAACAACTGGTCATGGCCACTTTTTTTGCAGAAGTTTTTAAACTTCTAGTTCAATATTTTCACTTGTTATATATCTGTGTAGGTCTTCCATTTCTTCTTGAATCAATTTTGGTATTTGTGTCTTTCCAGAAATTTTTCATCTTGCTTTCTGATTTGTTGGTATTCAGTTGTTCATAATATTCTCTTACAGAATTCTTTTTTATTTCTGTGGAAGGAGTAGTCATATCTTCTCTTTTATTTCTAATGCTATTAGAGTTTCCTTTTTTATTAGTCTATAAATTTGTCAATTTTGTTGATCTTTTAAAAGAACCTTTTTTTGTTTCGTTAGTTTCCTATTCTTTTTCCATTTTTTTATTCCACTATTTCCAGTGTATTTTTTTTATTAATTTCTTTCCTTCTGTTTGTATTGGACTGTTTTCTATTTTCCTAATTTCTTAAAATGAAAGATCAGATTATTAATTTGACATCTTTCTTCTTTTTAAATATAGATGCTCCTTAACTTATGATACTGTTATATCCCAATAAGCTCATTGTATATTAAAAATACAATACACCGAATATGCATTTAGTACATCTTATGTACCAAACATCATGGCTTAGCCATAGCTTAGCACCTTAAATGTGCTCAGAGGGGACGGCAGCATGGGTTAAGCCTCTGTCTGCAGCGCTGGCTTCCCATATGGCACCCATATGACTTTAGTTTAGTTTGAGTCTGGCTGCTTCACTTCTGATCAAACTCTGCTAAATTTCCTGGGAGAGAAGCAGAGGATGGCCCAAGTCCTTGGGCTCCTGAATCCATGTGGGAGACCCATATGAAGCTCCAGTCTCCTGGCTTCAGACCTGCCCAACCCCAACCATTGCAGCCATTTGGGGTGTAAAACAGTGGATGGAGTATCTCCCTTTCTCTCTCATTCTCTCTGTGATTTTGTTTTTCAAATTAAAAAAGAAAACTCTTTTTTTTAAAAGTGCTCAGAACACTTACATTCATGCACAGTTGGGCAAAATCATACAATATAAAGGCAATTTTATTTTTTAAAGATTTATTTAATTTTATTGGAAAATCAGATATACAGAGAGGATGAGAGACAAGCGGCCACAACGGCCGGAGCTAAACCAGTCCGAAGCCAGGAGCCCAGAGCTTCCCATGCAGGTGCAGGGTCCAAAAGCTTTGGGTCATCCTTGACTGCCTGCCCAGGCCACAAGCAGGGAGCTGAATGGGAAGTGGAGCTGCCGGGATTAGAATTGGCACCCATATGGGATCCTGGCACGTGCAGGGCGAGGACTTTAGGCTACCATGCGGGGCCCTATAAAGCCTATTTTAAAGTGTTGAATATCTCATGCACATACTCAGATGGGCATTTTACAGACATAAGATGTGAAAACACAAAATTAATAACCCAAAGATGCTAGCAACACAGCACACTGAGGAGCAC